TATGAAAACTAAGCCAACAAAATCAACAAACATCCCATACAAATAACCAAGTGCCAACAAGCTACAATCAACCCAACCACGACCACCACCTGACCTAAACATACTTCCTAAAATGGCTGCAAGAATTTACCACCAATAATCAAAGATACCCCAACAACATAGCCTAGAGGTCTTGACCTTTCTAGCTAAGAATGGGTCAAGAGTAAATTTTGAAATAAATAGCTCTAATCTCACATTCCCCTATATATAAATATGTATTCTTACTATGTAATTCAATTATATTTATAATAAAGTGAATCGAGGAAAGACCTCTCTTAAAAAAAAAAAAAAAAAAAATCCGGTTCGTTATAGCCCGATTTCGATATTAACAGACTTGTTTCTACACTAATTCTTGCTATATCTAATTTTAACACTGAAACCAACTAATTATTATTCATTAATTTAGAACGAAATCGCGTTGAGTGTAATAAAACGCGAAATGAGGTTTGTATGCTAGGATCGTCAACCACAACGTGATCATGTGAATCAGGTGATTCTTGCTGACGTCATTTTCTGTGTTACAGCGGGTTAGCAATTTAGGTTATAACGGGTTTGTAGGATTTTATTTAAGGCGAAAATGATGTAAGGTTTATGTAATTTATTTTTTATCAGAGCAAAAAGGTTATCGTTATTGTCCTTCATCGTTATTAGCTTAAGCGGCATATACATTCTTAAACTTATGGGGTTCGAACCACCATCCTAACCATCGGTGGTTCCAGATCAGGATCCACGGTTTCGAACCCTTATTGATGGTCTCGGACCAGAACCTAGGGTCCCGAACCATTATCTAGGGTCTGAAACCATGTCCTGAGGTCCGAAGCCGCCTCCCATTCTATTCTAACTAAAAAAAAGTGAATATCATTCTCGGACCAACATATACGTAGTCTTAGGCGGGGCAAATTATAAGGGAAAAAGAAAGAACAAATGTTTTTACAACAATAGGCTTAAATATTTTTTATAATTATTTTTAAGAATGTTAATCAAAAGTAGGACTAATAGACATTTACGGCAATATGGCAATATTACAACACGGAATGCTACTGCCTTTACGTATTCAGGATAATATATTTGTTTTTTCTTTGTTATACTTTTAATTTGATTTCTAGAGACTCAAGTTCAATTTAAAATAAGTTTAGGCGTAGTTTTAGCTGTCAGTGATTTTATGGTTCGTGAAATAATATGTACTATCTCTGACTAGAAATTTAAATTTCCGTTTAATAAGTTATGGCATAATTTTATTCACCAGGTGAAGGTATATTTATGGATTTCATATTACGAATAAAGCTGATCAATCAGACAGGTCTGATACCAATTTTTCTAATAAATTTTGAACATCATGGATATCTTCAAGGAAAAATGTAGCATTTGTTTGTTTTTTTCCAAATGCGCTCGTAAAACAATTCAAAGATTTAAATTCATCATTTTTTAGTAAGGAAAATACAGGTTCATCCGGGTTTTCATCACCAATGCAAAGCACAAAGGATTCCTGTGTAATGCTTAAATCTTTAAGAATGGCTCGAATTACTGTTGATTGACCAACCAATGAAGATCGGATTTCTAATTTATTATCTCCCAGGATTATCTAAAATAAAATTAATGATTAATGGAATAACTTAATAAATATGGTATACATCTGTCCGGAGTTGTTACTTCAGGCCCTAGCTAAAGTTAGCCATGAAATTAGATCTTGTCTGTATAATCGTAATTCCAGGCAGGTGCAGCTTTAAACATGACAAATATATAATTACAATAATAAAAATAATTCTTAAAATAGCAACCTACCTTTAAGGGCATATGACCTAATTTGCTTATCAAATTATCCTGTAAATCCAAAGTTTGCCATAATCCAAATTTACCAAACTCAGGACCTGAACAATAATGCCATATTATACCAATCTCCTTTTCTTCAATAGAAGCACCAGGAGTTCTCTCAACGTAATAATTAAATAAATGAAGAACTATTTCCTTTAACGCAGGATCAACTTGTTCAACAAGTCTATACCAACCATTATATTCTTCTATTATAGTTTTTCCTTCATGTAAAATCGGATTTACTTTTTCTTGTAAACATTTCGGATGTTTGTAAAAACAGCCATGTTCTGCAGATAAACCGACTCCAGTTGACTCAAACTGATCATCAAGACTAACTCTACGATTACCAGACAGTATATAAACATACGTATTTGATTTTTTTTGAAGTGCTTTAAGAGTTGAAATTATATTATTTGATGACTCTGCTGATTTACGAGTAGTGATTAAGGTTTTATCATAATCTAATAGGATGATTCTCTTATTAGCAGTATTTGCAGCTTTTACAACTTGATTGATTTCCAAATGTGGGGTCACAATTTGAGAACTATACCCCTTAACACACTATAATAAAATAAGGATTAATAAAGATTTGAATGAATTATGATAGTAGGTGCATTATATAACTTAATTACCTTTAATTCATCAATAAAACTTTTTCCCCAAAATGAGATAGTATGATTCATAACATAATTATATAGTTTTTGATAATTTGATTTACGTAAGTTTTCATC